TTTCTTTGTTACTGATAAGCTATCAAAAACTATTAAGTATTGACTTTCACTAAAATGAAGGAAAATATTAAGCTTTCTAATTGAAACACTGGTCTAACTGGTCAAAATGTAATACTTTCTACTACCAAGATCCTAGATTATATTTGTTTTATACATGTAATAACAAAATAATTACAATACAAATTTACATCATGAATCTTTGTCTCAATTATTCCACAATTTATTACTGAAGTCTTTGATTCTGGTACTGCATGACCTGGTTCATTCACTGACAGGTAGCTTTAAAGATTTCCTAGCAAGAAAAGATGTAGTACATTCACTAGAAGTAATTTTCGCATCTCATTTTCTTTACAGACAGACCTGAAAATGTGTTCTAATATGTATGCTGTTAACAATATCAAAAATGAATAACATCTGTTTTGCACAGTTGCCATTTCACCGTATCCCTTCCACATGGACACATACATAGTGCAAGTGCCTAGGTTTCATGATGCCTGACAGACACGGTGAGACCCTGAAGGAGCAATAACTTGTCTGAAGGCACAGCTTGTGCTTTCTTCCCATTTGCATTGCTCTTAGCTGGAATCGACAATGGCTGGTTTCTGCAGCATTACTCTCAGTGCCATTAATCCAGACTAAGAAGTTATTTATTTCAAAATGATGCCAAATCCTATGATTCATATGTTAATAAGTCTAAATGACTTGCAAAACATCTTTTGTAAAAAAAAAAAAAATTTGTAGAAATGCCATCTTAGAAAATAAAAGCTGATTTTTCTTAGAAAGCTGAGTCATATTAACTTATTTGAATGAGGGATGGGTGGGTAGGGGGAGAAGTGGGGAGGAGGAGGGAAAAATGGGCCAAAATTTCTGGCAAGATTTCTTTTTACCGCAAGCTGATACTCAGCATATTAACAACAACAACAACAACAACAACAACAACAAAAACATTTCATGCCTCGCCTCTACTCTTCCTCAGAACTTATAATATTAAAAACAATTTTAATTTTCCTAAAAATGATAAAATATACAAAATGCTACTTGAAAATGCTAAATTGGACATAATCAAGTAGGATACGTTTTGTATGGTGATGTGAAAAAAAGGATACCTGAGATACTAAAAGAGTTCCAACTACACACGACCTCCACGCCTACAGACATTTGCAAGTATCTTCACCCATATCGTTTCAGCCAATCCGCAAGGCAACTGATTGCAAAATACACTATTATTTACACACCACCAAGAAAGAGAATACACTGCCCTTTAACCTATGACACAATGTAATTATAAAACACACCCCTGGGGAGCTATGCTCAAATTTTTACCAATAAGTCAGAGGTGCCTTTATTTTCTCCCCCTTGAAAGAACATTCTAGAAAGGCTCAAATGAGAATCTTATTTCATTTAACCTCACTGTCTTTTTTTTTTTTTAACACTGGAAACTTAATTGCATGAATGTTATGCATTTGTGTTAAGATGCAAAAAAAAAAAGTGGGGGTATACAGAATGTAATGTGTATCTGCATGGGGTTTGGCAAACGGTGTTAAAAGAATGTTGATGAATTAATAAAATTATTTGATATGCCTAGAGATAAAGTTAAATCATTGCTAACTTTTAATTTTTCTATATTCATGTATTGCCGCAAAATTCTTCGAGGCAAAATAAAAATTTAAATGTAAATGCAAATGCTAACGAAGCATAAACACAATCCAATTACTGGTTATTAATATTGTGATATGTTCTTCTCTGGCATCATTTTATATTCTGGGGCTTTCACACTGACCTAAAGGCCACCAAGGAAAGTAACAGAACATGTTGTACCTCCTTGGGTATCCTTGGGTGTCATACATGGGTGAAACTGAGAGATAAGCTCATACAACCCTCAGATTCCCACATCATAAGTTAAAGATTGAACTAAACACAAATAAAACCTTTTCTATTCTTGATTTGTGATTAATTTTTGGTGCAAGTATTGAAAATCAAATCACTCAGCAATTCATGGATTTTAAATATTCATTTGGTTTAGTGTGAAAAGGATTAATCAATAAATGCAAAATGTTTTTTAAAGCTTACTAAATGTAAAATGTTTTTTAAAGCTTACTAAAACAAATACAGCGTGGCCCAAAAGTCTTAGTGCAGTTTTATGGTCTAATTACTTCAGAAGTATAAATGCTTCAGATTTTGAAAACTCAATTATATATGTTTCATTTTCACATGTTTAGTTTTGTGAATTTTGATAACACATTTTTAATTTTAATATTTTAATCTCTCTCACTGAATATGGCACTGACTAAAACAAAACATTTAAGTTAAAATTTTACTTTGAAGTTTCCAAAATTGAACAAGTATAAAAGTTAAATAATAGAACTTTTAAATGATTTTTTAAGATTCTTTAAAAAACAGACTTGTTTAAAGCAGTTTTAAGTTCACAGAAAAAATGAGCAGAAGGTATTGAAATTTCCCACATATCCCTATGTGCACACACGCATCGCCTCCCCATTATCAGCATAATGTTATCCCACTGTATGGCACACACAACGGTATGTATCAAAGACATTTTAAAAATATCCCCCACCCCAGAGTGGTACACTGAATACATTTTCTAAAGTTTGTAGTATTTACATCTTTGAAGGTCTCAAATCTTAAAACAGCACTAAGACTTTTAGGACATCCATTATTTTCTAAAGCAATAGGGATTTTTCTTCACAAAGCGATCACCCGGGAAAAATCTTCTTGGAAATGAAGTGAACATGGGAAAGATTTCTTTTCTTCATGACTCTGTCTTTCCCTCAGGAGTGAGAAGAAGGGAGCTGAAGTTATTTTTGTTTCTTGAGAAGAATTCAAAGATACTAAGTTGGTGGGAATAGAGAGCATGCAGAGGGCAGGTGAGCAATGGAACGAGCAGGAGCTCTTCATGGAGTCGTGGATCTAGTCTAGGCCTTGGGTCCACGAGCTAAAGACAGGTTGTGTTGTGTTTAAAGTCTGAGTGTGGTTCAGTTTAGGTAGCTAGCATAGGAGACCAGTTGGCCCTTTTAATATCAGTAATAGATAAGTAGGTAGATTTGGAGTTGAAGTCCATCATAATAAAGGATATAATTTGTACATAATAAAAGCACTAAGTAGAAATGTTATCTACACAAAATGGTATCTTGCCAATGAAAATATTAACTTCTGTATTTAAATTTATATTTTTAATGATGATTGACAATTAAGCAGTATCTATAACACCCTTTTCCTGGAAAATTAAAGACCTTTATATATTTTTACCTATTACCTTCCACTACCTAACATGTTTTCTGAATCATCTGATAGTTTAGATTCAGATAGTTAATATGATAATATTATCTGCTTTTATTTTATGCCATTATTTAAAAAAAATTCTTTCTTAATAATTTGAAAGACATATTATCAACACAAATTCACATTTAACTATAGATTCCAATTATTTTATGGTAATTATTGTTTCTGTAATTCATTTTACTCTTTTTCTTAGAATCTTTCGTTTTGTTGGAAGATATTCTAATTTTTTTTTTTTTTTTTTTTTAAGAAAAGATTCATAGAGGATAAATTTCCTGAATCTTCACAATTCTAAAAGAAAAAAATGTCATTATTCTGTCCTTACTCTACACTCACTTGAATGCTAGTTTTGCAGGATATAGAATTCTGGGATAAAAAGATTTTCCACTAAGGACAGTAAAGGCTTTGTTTAATTTTGTTTTAGAATTTATTGTGAACAATGTTAAGTCTAATACTGGTATGATTCTTGTTCTTTGTAAGTTTTTCCTTTCCTTTAGTTTCTGAAAACATCGCATTTTAATTTATGTTGCGTATAGATAACTTTGTTTTTCCTGCTTTGTACTAAGTGGGTCTTTTCGATCTGATGACTATAATCACATCATTTTTGGCCTTTTGGCTAAGATCAAGTGAAGACTATAATCTTTCTTCAGAGCTTCAGTTTACAGAGACTTCCCCACTACCCACCATTTTTTTAAATGGCTAGTTCTTCTTTTCAATTGCTCTGTTTCTTTCTGGTGTTTTCATGACATATTTCCTTTTTACTTTTTTTTTTACCTTTCCATTTACTAGACTTTATCTTCCAGATAATACTCAGTCATACCCAATCTGGTATTTGTCTCTTCTACTAAATTTACTGTTTTGCCAAATATATTTTTATTTCCAGAAACCCTTTCTTAATCTATGACTGTCCAGAAAAGTCATAGATTATATTAGTATATATCGCAATTCACTTTTTACAAAAGATTATTTCTAGTCAAAAATATTTAGGATGATATTTAGAATTGCATTAAATTTATTATAGGAATTAAATTCTTTAGATAAAAAATGTTCAACAAAGAGAAATACCTCTAGCAACAAGGATCTTAAAGGGAAATCTCTAAACCTATAGCAAAGAATTTTAAGTAAAGTTAACAGATATAGGCTGAAAAGAGATCTTTAAAGATAATAAAATTTATAAATGAAGAGCTAAGTCTTCAGCAACTTTTAGTTCAGTCTTTGTTCTTATGAAAATATTTCATCCATAGGTTTTATATCATCTTTATTGCACATAAGAAAAGTAAGATTTGTGAAATTAAGTGACTTTTTCAAGGTAACAAAAAAATGTAGTGATCTCTCCCTGCCACATTTGAGGCTATAAATAAAATAGAAGCAGTCTTGTGCTTCTGAAAGTAGCCAATATGCAGTCAATTTTCTTATCATTCAAGAGATAAGAACAGTCAACTTCTTCATCTTGATTTACCTGGAGTACTCATTTCAATTGCACCAGCCAGGCAGAACCTGGTAATAACTGCTGCCTAGTTTCAGTTGGCATTGAAAAACTGACTAGGAAAAGACATTGCTCAAAAATTATTTTGGCACAAGTGTTAAGCACTCTTTTCCACCAGATAAATCTGACCAAAAATAAGCCAAAAGCGATTAGTGACCTGTGATGCGTTATTCAATATGGTATTAGAAATTCTAGAATCAATTGATCTGCAGTCTATTACCTTAGCATTTTGGATGCAGGGACAAAGAGCCCAAGCTGCACTGGCCTTAACGTCTGGGTGAGGATTTTTCAGCAGGGACCACAACAAACGAACTCCATCTAAGCGATCAATGATCCTATTGTGAAACCAAAATAGAGGTATAAACTGTGATTAGCACATGAAAATGAAAATTTAAATGGCCTATCTATTCACACAATTCTAATTGTTTTTTCTCCTTTTGACATTTGGCTTTTTTTTTTTTTTTAACTTCAACAACAGCAAGGATATAACATGCCGTTGAATTGTGAGTGCTCTGATTTCAATTTTAAATTCATGACACGGAAAGCAAGCTCCATGATAATTATGATTCACATAAACTTAAAGTCAAGCCATGTAATTTTTTAATTAGCTGTACACAGACTGTTAGCTAGATGTAAAAATACTAGTTTCTTTCATATAGTAACATCTAAATATTTCCCAAAACAAATATTTATGCCTCACAACTCTGCAGTTACCTTTTTTATTTGGTCTATGTTTAATTGACTTACCTTACTGTATGACATATTTTAAACTCCGCCAGTCCTAATCTAGTATTAGGAATTAAAATCATTACACCACAGTGCATCCTTTGTTGGGCACGAATAACACGTAACTTGTTTTCCATGTGCTCCGACTGTGTTATAATTACTTAAACACTCTGTAATCAAAATATCTTCATGACTAGCTGAAAAATGAATTATCATCAGAGTCATCTCTACACCATCTGTCTTCTGTTTATACATCAATCAGTCCAGGGAGCAGAACCTCAAATTAACGTCCACTGAGTGCTTGCAGTTGAGAAGAAGGCCAAACAAAACTTAATATCATTTACAAACATGGTTTTGTTCAGAAAGATATGTTAAACTCAAAGCAGATGAGAAAAGATAAAGAACATCAAAATTTCTTTGATTTTTTTAATCTCAAATTGCGTTAAACACATGTAGTTTTTAGCCACGGACAGAACAAATACTGCTAGCTTAAAATGCCATTCAAATTCTTTCTGAAAGTCAACATAAAAACATCTTTATTTCTTGATTAGCTGAGATGAGTTTGCCAGAAAAAAAAGTATTATTCCAAAGGTTCCAAGTAGGATGTCATTTCTGCATAACTGTATAAAACAATTGGTAATTGCAAATAGAGTATAGTAAGATATAAACTCTTTCTTTAAAAAATAACTTATAATAAGAAAAAAATGCATTGACAAAGTGTTTTAACCCAAAGTTTAACTAAATACTTTTGAAACCTGAAGTTTTGTCAATATCATGCTGAGAGAAAACAAAGTTTTATTTCTCAATTTATGGAAGCTGTAAAGAGAGATACTGAACACTTCACAGCAAAAGATTTACTTTATAAACTTAAGCTTACTGCTTTACATATGCCACTGAAAACATAACTGATTCTGCTCCTTGGGTCTCTATTTTTCCGCACATAATTTCTCAATGAATGACAGGTCTGTCTTACCCTCTCACGAATGTAGCAGTAACATTTGCATTAGTAATATCTATACAATGCTGGATATAACTTTTCATTAGAGTGCAAGTCATTCAGATGGCACACATTTTCAGTTTAAAATAAAAAGGATAACTCAATGCTGGACCTCCTCCCCATGCAAAATTTCACAACTAACTATAAACACTCACTATTAATTATAAAACGAGATCTACTGTCCCCAACCCTCACCCCAAACCCAAGGCAATTCATTAGCTACTTAGTTACATAGGATGAGCATTTTAACCCCATTACTGATGTCATAAAATAACTCAGCACATCACAGAGTAATAAATAACCTTAGAGGAGGAAAATATTTTCAGAAAACATTTTCAAACACAGGAACTAACAAAGTCAGGGGTAGCCAACTTCAGAGTTTAGTTTTGTCCCTTCCACTTCCATCTTCCTCATCCCCTGTATCAACTCGCTGACCACTAATGTTTACTTCACAATAACTCGAGTATCCCCTCCCCAAGTCCTCCGTTCTCCCTGCAGCACCTACTAATCCTGGTCTTTACTACTTCATATCAGGACTGCTGCTGTGGCTACAAAACTTGGTTTTGTATCTTCAATTTCTCTCAGTTCCAATCCATCCTAGATATACCTGTGAAATTCATCTTCTTAAAGGACCTTCTGAGCTTTTGCAGTAACTCCTTGAGGGCAGGACCCCAGGGATATTCATTCTGTTCATCACACCACACAGCACGTTCAATCAACACAGAAAGATCACCCCCAGGAGAAAGTCTCCAAGGGCTTCCCATCACCTGCAGTGTATTAAAACTTCAATTCTTGAACTCTGTATTCAACATGTCCAAGGAGCTGCTGTATTCCTCCCAATTCCCTATATGTAGACATTCTCTAATAAAACTCTTTGGCCATCTACTAAACAATAAGTGCTAAGCAAACAGAAATAACAGATACAGTCAATTCTTGCTACTGGGGGTAGTTATATTCTGTAAAGTTGCTGCAAACAGTGAATTAGTAAATACTGAACCACGTTCCTAGGAGAAATATAAAATTTTGTCTCTGAGGGCCTCTAGTCAGAACATTTTCATCAACTCATCGATATATAACCTTGTTTTGTGTGTTTCTGTTTAAAGGCACCTTATTTAAAACACGTGGTTGATTCATTGACATGGAACCCAGGGCCAATAGCACTATGAAGCCAACACACATTTTCTCCGCCAGGTGCATCCAGCTTTCGTGTGCTTAGGAACCATAGACTAGACAGCGCGGCAGCACTCTGCTTCGGGGCCATTTTTAACAGTAAAATCACCAGCTTGAAGCACACAAATGTGAGTAACAGGGTGCTAAATAGACCATGAAATGGACACTTGTTTACAGTATGAGCTGAAACAAGAAGGCAGATAGTGGCCTTCTTCAATCTCAGCTGGAAACGTGTACCAGGTGACTCAAATTTTTCACTGCTTTGCGCATGTCCAAGATTGATGGTGAATATGCTCTAAGCATTGATTTAGGGGTTACAAATAAATTTTAGCAGGGATACGAATTCACAAATACAAAATCTGCAAATAATGAGGATTTCAATTGTCTTTCAGGAACCTAGAGTCTACTAAGGGAGATAAAGAGATCATTATAATGTATTATAATAAATGCTACAATTGATGTGTCATAGAGTTCCCTGCGAACACATACAGGAGACACCGGTTGACTCACAAGCCACAGAAATTCTCCCAACTATAAGCCTTTGCCCATGCCATTGCCATCTTTTGTTATAATAACCCATCTTTTAAGGTCACAGTTTTAAAAACAAAACCTCTCCCACAAATCCTTTGGTTTCTTCCTCCTTTAAGCTTCTTGTGAGTTTTGCTGTCCCCTTTTCTGGCACTTATAACGCATTGCTTTGCTTTGTTGTGGTCATGTATGTATGCTGTTTATGACCTCAGTTATTGTGTAATCTCCATG